ACCCAGAACCTTCCTCTGCCTGGGATCCACCCAGAACCTTTAAAGATCCAGTAACATTCAAATATGGCTGATCTCAGTCAGTCACACCAAAACAACAGGCTTCACTAATCAGCCGCCTGAATTTAAATGATTAAACACAAAACTAAGCAGATTAATTTAGTTCTCCACAGGAATGAAGCGCCCTGAGAGGCCTGTTTGCTGCAGGCGGTAAGTTCACAGCCACTGATGTTTTCAGCTTGTCACCAAAGACACTAAGACAGGAAGAAGTGGACAGAAATGTTGCTAGTCGACTTAAAAGGCAGGAGTGGCCACGCTGTTCACTTCGATACTGCTGGGCCAGCAGGGGGCGTGGCCAATGATGACACGAGGCCATGTCATCATCTCATTTAGAAGAAAATCTTTAACCTATTCAGATCCAGAGGAAGGTCAGGGGAAGGTCAGGTAGGTCACCAACATGGACCATGCAGCATGGCAATGATCGGCTCTCTAAAGGCGGGCATACACTCTACTATGTTTCCAGGCGCTGCACACAGCTACAGCTCTAACTGTTCTACGAAGCCTCAGGGTTTAAAAGCTCGCACTGTACGTTCAGAAACCAACATCGGACTCAGCGCTGAAAGATGGCGCTGGTCGGACTCATCAATCTGGGAGAAGAAGTCCATTGTTTGCGCATGCGCAGTGCTCGCAGTTCTGGCAAATCACCTCGTAGCTCAGCTCCAGCAGCAGGATTTACCCACCAAACCCTCAGGAGGGGCGACTGGATTTCAAACATGTTTGATTTTTCTCTGACCTCACGATTCCTGATGGGGAGGTTGGTGGTTAGAGGCTGATCACACCTCCTTACCCCCTGTACACTGCACAACGCAGGACGCACCATCAGGCTGAAACTCTATCCAACAGAGTCTTGCACGACTGGAGAATCGGGCCGAAAAGGGAAATAAATCCAACACTGAATGCCCGGCTTTAGAGACCAACCACAGGAAGATAAGGCTGAGTGAAAACGGCACAAACAGACAGAGAGAAAGAACAGAGAACATGCAGGATGGAGGAGAGCTACAG